TGTTGCTCAGCGTATTTGTCTACTCTTCACTTGATGTTAGTCAAAAAGCCAAGAAAGAATTGTCTATTCTTGCAGTAATTACTATAGTTTTATAACATGTATAGATATCCTAGGTAATATTGGCATTTCTACATCAATTTGATAATGAATATGTCACAATTTACACATTCATAAAAATCATTGGAATTGTGACTGGATTTGCAATGAATATTTTAAAAATCAGTTTAGAGACTACAAACAGCTTTATGACCTTGCCTATTCTATGAAATGAACCTCTGATTCCATTTTGGCCTTTTTAAAAGTCTTTCGGGGATGATATTGAACAAGATGCATTGCATTCATAATCTGACTTTAATTGAAACCCCTTTGTAAAATTACTTAGAGATAATAATAATAATATTAAGTAAAAATTTTAAAAAGTCTTTCAGAGCTGGGACATGGCTCCAATGATTGAGTACCGGCCCCAAGTTCCCATACTGCCAAAAAATTTCAATCAGTGCCCATGTAATTGTAACTCCTCTGTACGGTATTTTCATAATAATAAAAAAAATTTAAAATTTCAATCAGGTTTTAAGGAGTATGTGGTGGGGGGGGGCACTCCACCACTTTGAGCCACAGCTCCACTTCCAGTTTTCTGGTGGTTAATTGGAGATAAGAGTCTGTGAATCATAATCCTCAGAGCTCAGCCTCCTGAGTAGCTAGGATTACATGTGTAAGCCAACAGCACCCAGCTGGCAAGTGAATTTTTATTTTTCCCCCCAAAAATATTTTATCCTCTTTTTCCAGTTCCTAAATAGTTCACAACTGGTTTATTAAAATTCATTTTGTTGTTGACATATGAAACCAACAGAGAGGCTGAGGATATAGCTCACTGGTAAAGTATTTGCCAAGCACATGTAAGGCCCTTGGATCCATCTCCAGCAGCACACAAAAAAAGGAAAAACAAACATTTTGGCAGTGCTATGGATGGAAATCAGAGCCTCACAGATCCAGCAACTACATTCCTAAGCTATACTTAGTGTATGTAACAGATTTCTAAATACTAACTTTGTGTACAGAAATGCTTTTTTTTTCTGATACCAGGGCTTTGATCTCAGGGCCTCACATTGTCACTCAACTTGCTTGTTTACTCACAACTGGCATGCTACAAAATTGAGCCATCCATCCAAACTGTCTTTTCCTGGTTAATTAGAGATGAAGTCTCATGGACTTTTCTTCTCAGATTGGCTTCAAACTGAGATCCTCCAGATCCCAGCCTCCTGAGTAACCAGGATTACAGACAAGCCACTGGTACCCAGCTAAATATTTAATTTGCCCATGGATTATTTTGGATTTTCTATGTACATAATGGTATCATCTACAAATACTATTTGTTCATTTCCAGTGTCTAAATGTCTTTTTCTTTCCCTTGACCTTTTGTGTGTGTGTGTGTGTGTGTGTGTATGTGTGCACGCGCACACACGTGCGCGCGCACGCGCACGCATGCGTACACACGTGCCCATGCATGATAGATCTGGAGCTTGAACTCAGGGCCTCACACTCTTGCTTAGCTTTCTTTGCTCAAGGATTCTGCTTTACCACTTGAGCTCACACCTCCATTTCTGGATTTTTTTTTCTGGTTAACTGGAGATAAGAGTTTCAAGGACTTGTCTGTTTGACGTGGTTTTGAACCATGATCCTCAAATCTCAACCTCCTGCGTAGCGATGATTACAGGCATGAGCAGCTAATACCCAGCTTCCCTTGACATATTGTGCTGGCTGGGACATCACTACAATGCTGAATACAAATGGTGCTAGCAGGCATCCTTGCCATATCCCATATCAAAGCTTAAACATTTCACTTTTAAGGATATAGTTCACTGGAAATCTTTATTGATACCCTTTATGCTAAGAAAGTTCATTTGACTATTTTGTCTAGCATTTGGCTGTTTACATGAAAATGGATTGTCACAGAAATTTCTTCCTAGGTTGATTCTGAACCTTGATCCTCCTAGACTCAGCTTCCTAAATGGCTAGGATTTCAGGTATGAGCCACCAGCACCCAGCTTGCTAAGATTCTTTTTGTATGTGAACATAAGGTCTGGGAGCTGTCCCTGAGCTTTTTTGCTCAAGGCTCATCCCACTCCACCATTTGAGTCATAGCTCTACTTCCTGCTTTTTGGTGGTTAACTGGAGATAAGTCTCACAGACTTTGCTGACTGAGTTGGTGTCAAACTGTGATCCTCAGATATCAGCTTCCCCAGTAGCTAGACAGGTATAAGCCAATAAAATTCTTTAAATCATAAATAGATATTGAATTTTATCCTTATGTCCCTATCCATTAAGATAAGTGTAGCTTTTTTCCATTTAGCCTGCTATTGAAAGTAATCACGTTGAGCTCAAATACTTAATCACATTATATTCTGAATAAATCTAACTTGATCATCTTAAATTTGTGTGTGCGGGTGCGCCGCGCATACACACATGCATATGCGCACATGTGCACACAGGGCCTGGGTGCTGTCCCTAGGCTTCTTTTACTCAAGGTAGCTATACTACCAGCTTTTTCTGACTAGTTTATTAGAGATGAGAGTTTCACAGACTTTCCTGCCCAGGCTGGTTTCCAACCATGATCCTCAGATCTCAGTCTCCTGAGTAGCTAGGATTATAGATGTGAGCCACCAGCACCCGGCTATCTTTAACTTTTAAGTTGAATTTAGGTATCTGTCTTTGGCTTAGAATATTTGCATATATATTCTTTTTTGGGGGGGGTCCGGTCGTGGGGCCTGGACTCTGGGCCTGGGCTCCGTCCCTCAGCTCTTCAGCTCAAGGCTAGCGCTCTACCGCTTGAGTCACAGCGCCACTTCCCACTTTTTTCTTTTTGCTTATGTGGTGCTGAGGAATCGAACCCAGGGCCTCAGGCATGCAAGGCAAGCACTCTACCACTGATCCACCTTCCCAGCCCCTGGCATATATATTCTTGAGATTGTTTTCTCAACATTCTATTGGCTCATTGGGTGTTAATTATATAAGGAAGAAATGAACAACTTATTTTCCATTAATAAGGATACTTGTAAAACAAAGAAGACCTTATCAGACCCCTTAAAATAAATCAGGGATGGTCTTTTTCTACATAATGGAATTGCTTTTGGAAAATGAAATTATTTGTTCCTTGAGCATTTCAACAACAAAGCCATCTGAGCCCAGAGTTTCTGTGAAGGAAGATTTTGACTACCAGTTCCGTTGTTTCTTCAATGGTTATAAAACTACTAAAATTTGGAGCTGGGAAGGTGGCTCAGTGGTAGAGTGCTTGCACTGCATGCACGAGGCCCTGGGTTCGATTCCTCAGCACCACATAAGCAAAAAAAAAAAAAGAAAAGAAAAAAGCGGGAAGTGGTGCTATAGCTCAAGTGGTAGAGAGCTAGCCTTGAACTGAAGAGCTGAGGGACAGCACCCAGGCCCAGAGTTCAGGCCCCACGACTTGACCCCCTCCCCAAAAAAAAACTACTAAAATTTTTCATTCCATTTTGAGACATTTTTGGCAAACTGTATGTCTATAGGAATATTTCCACTTTATCTAAAGGCATAAAGTTGCCTTTTAGACAATCATCAAATTATCACATCAGATCCAGGCGTGATAGTCTATCAATTCAGCAGTCAGAAGTCTGGGACTGGAGGATCATCAGTTTAAGGCCTATCTGGGTTAGTGAGTTTCAGGCCAGCCTAGGCTACATATTAAAGCTCCCATCTCAAAAAAAGCCATGACATCAATGGAAGACTATAGACACATGTCTGAACATTAATATGTCATATTAGAATACTCTCTTTGGGAAATAGATGTGATATGGGTGCTCCATTTCTCATTAGCTGTTTTCTGCTTCCAGATTCTGTGATGCTATTCCTTCTGATTGGAGAGCCATCTTCTCCCTTCCATTACCTAGAGGATTCCTTTTTGCTTTTGAAAATACAGAAAAAGAATTATATCCTCCAAGATACTCAGAGTCCTTGGACTGGATTAAACCTCTGTCCTGGACTTACACAACCAATAGGACTCATCACTTGTTGGTACACACTGACCATGGTACACTGTGGTTCTCTTGTCTGGATTGTGAGCTCCTCCACTGTACCCACAGAGACAACAGAGGTGATCAGTCAACATGCATGGAGCTGAAATGAACTTGTAACCACTAAATAAGCACCTAAAATTTCCACCCATATTGCTCTGTATTCTCCAGTGCACATTTGTTTGTTCCTTCATGTAGTTCATTTGATGGGAATTTATTGTGCACCTACTATGGGATGGGAATTTTCTGAGAAGAGTAGCCAATGTGGAAGGAAAAAAAAGTTTGGAGAGTGTGGCATTTTGGAAACCAAGTGAAGAAGGAGCTGCAAGGTAGAGATGATCAGTTCTAACAAAGGCGCCCAAGAGGTCATGTAAGATGAAGTCTGAGACTTGACTATTGATATAATAATGTGAAAATAATCAGTGATTTCAGCACTTTTGCTAAAGTGGTTGGCAAACACAGACTGGGCAGAGTGCCAGTGGCTCATACTTGTAATCCTAAATACTCAGGAGGCTGAAATCGGGAGGACCAAAGTTTGAAGCCAGCCCAGGCAAAAAAGTTCACTAGACTCCATTTCCAAAATGGCCAGCAAAAAGCAGGGCTGGAGGTATTCTTCACGTGACAGAACACCAGATGAACAAGTGCAAGACCCTGAATTCAAACTCTGATACCAGCCCCCCAAAAATCGTTTTTGAAAAATACAGATTGAAGTTATTTCAGAAATGGATAGGAGCATTGGAGAAGAAATGACTAAAGAAAGCTTCTATATATATATATATATATTTGTTTCAAACAGTTTTTCTGCAGTGCTGGACATGGTAGTACATGCCTGTAATCCTAGCACTTAAGGAGGCTGAGGCAAGATCACGTGTTCAAGGCCAGTCTGGAATACATTGTGAGACCCTAGCTCAAAAATAATAATAATAAAGGGAAGTAAATAAATATATGGTGTTTTATTTTGCTATGCAAAGTATTTTTTATTTGCATGCAATAAATATATCTATCCTTTCTTTCAAACATCTGAGTTTCCTGTTTTGAGTAGAAATGCAATATCTGTCAGCAACTCGTGATACAAATTTTTCACAGCACATTAATTTCTCTGTATTTTCTGAGGCCTTCTCTATCTTGGGGGTTTGAAGGGTCTCTCTGCTGGTGTCAAAGGCTGTTTGGGGTTGGTTTTTCTTTTCTGAAACCTCAAAACCTTATAGCTGATTTGTAACCGATGTCTTCACATTCACAACTGATAACAACCTCCACTCAAGCCACATACTGACACCAAACCTTCATGTGGCCCCCATTCTTCCTCCATAGCTCCCACCACCACCTATATACACAGAGGCAGGCTCCCATAGGCAGAATGTAAAAAGACTACAAGACCACATGTATTAGGACCATGAGGAGAGGAGACAACAGATCCTCAAAGACACATTTAAGAGGCAGCAACAGGCAGGGCCATGTCTACTCCCCCCCCACTCCCCACAATCTTCTTCCCCGTGGAACATGACCACCCTATACACTCAGGCCCAAACAGGAGACTACTGCACAGCAAGACAAGTCATTTCTCATAGAGCTCTATTGTGGCATATAATAATAGGTACTCTATATAAATTAAATTAAAAATAAAGCTCCAGCAGGTTGCACAGGTTGGCTGTTAATAAATATATCTCTGGGTAATTGTGCCCCAAGACCAGCTCATGACCACTCTCCCTCATCCAGAGAATTATACAAAAATAAATACAGGCTCAGGGGAATGGGGGGGTGGGGAGGACATGCCTGGTTCCATTCTAAAAGTTCTCACTCCTTCCACCATCCCTGGAGAGCTCCAAGACAGGAAAGGGAAGGCCTCTCTCCAGTCAACCATTCTTAGAAGCAGAGGACCAAGGTCCTTCACTGTACAGGCCATATGTGTCATCTCAACCCTCTGGGGGGGGTGGAGGGACTGACCCTCCCCAGACCCCAAAGAGTAGGGGGAGGGAGAGCCTGTTATTGCTGATCCCACAAGCAGCCCCTACGAGAACCAGGCCAGAGAGAGGCACAGCACAAGCACCAGGAGGGACATACCACTGTTCAGAGCCACAGGGACCACCACCAGCCCAGCCAGGACTCCCAGAGTCTGGGTTAAGGGGCCCCAGAGCTGAGAAGACAATCCACACCCACATTCTGCAGGGGCTTCTGGGGTGGGAGACCTCTTTGGGGACTCAAGACTTGGGTCTGCACCTTCTTCATCCTGGGAGATCACAGGAGAACTTGCCACACTAGAAAGATAGACATCATCCCTCATGGGACAAAGAGAGGTGGAATTCTGCTCCTGCAGAAGGACTGGAACATCTGGCTCCTTGCCGAACATTGTAACTGAGCCACCTGCCCACTCAGGGGTGACCTCCATCTGGGCCTCTGTTCCGGCCTCCCCCAAAGACCTGGTCACCCCACCTAGGATTCTATTTGTGTATAGAGAGTTGATGTCCTTGCCCATTCCTTTCTCTGGATCCCCAGGGAATGGACCTTCTGTACCCAAAACCACAGAGCTGTCACATCCAGCACCCTCTGCCCAAGGGAACCATACATCTCCCATAGTGGCTACCACAGCACGGGCCCCAGAGAGGATTTCCGGAGGCGATTCCTTGGGGCTGTCTCCTTCAGGACTGGAGGGAGTGATGGCGAGCCCCTCATCACCCTCCCCCTCATCATCAGGGTCCTCAGTGTCCTTGATGAGCTCCACACCACGCCCCAGTCGTGCGTAGTGCAAGGTGATCTCCTCGGCCAGGGCACTGTTCAGGGCCCGCTCAGGGCCAGGCCACTTTAAGATCAGGTCTCGGTCCGTGAGTATGCCCAGGGGATGGCTAGGGGATAGCCCCCCATCTGTAGGGCCCTCCCCACCACCCCCTGCTGCACCTGCAGCAACAGCAGCCCGCAGGCGGCTCAGGTGAGACAGATAGAGCTGTTCCAGCTCCTGATCAATGGTGTCTTCGCCAAGCAGCTCCTCCAACCCACTCAGGACCTCCAGACCCCCAGCAGGTTCATCCATAACAGCTCCCACCATGAGGTCCTTTTGACCCCCTCCACTCTCACTTGACACTTCCCAAGAGGCCTCCACCTGTTGCTGGCTGGGCTCCAAGAAGGGCCCAGTGGCCACTTCACTTGCATCAGGCCCAGAGGCCTGATCTCTAGGGGAGCCACCCAGGCCAGAGAGAGGAGTGGAGGGAGGAATCCTGATGGCTGGTGCCTGGAGGACCTCTGTAAAAATGACTGGGAGACTGCTTCTGGAGATGTCACCTTCTCCTGAAGGGTTGCCAGTTCCAGGAACTTCAGAAACCTGGAGCCGTGGTAGAGTGGGGAAAGAAAGAAAAGGGAATGATTAGAGGAAGGCTGAGATAAGAAGAGATAGTAAAAACTGATAAGAGCCACACCCAGCCTCATATGGGGTGTGCAGGTAAACACAATTAAAAGCATCTGTTGTAAGGCTCTAAACTCCAAAGACTCTGACATCTATACTGAAATAGCAAAATCATCCCTGTACTGGTAAGTCACATTTGTAATCCTAGCTACTCAGGAGGCTGAGAGCTGAGGAGCCCAATTCAAAGCCAACTCAGGCAGTAAAGTCCAGGTGACTCTATCTCCAATCAACAACCAAACAGCCCAAAGTAGACCACTGGCCTTGAGCAAAAAAGCTCAGGGATATCACCCAGGCCCAGAGTTTAAGCCCCAGAATCTTCTATTGGCTAGGAACAGTTTAATGTAAGCATCAAAATAAAATAAATGCAATGCATTGAAAGTCACCAGATATATTTAGAATTCATGACATATAAAAACCCAAAAATCCTGATTGGTCATCCTTGGAGGTCATTTTTAATCAATACTGGTGAATAATGTGGGAGGGAAATTAAATATTAATACTCCTTTCTTCTGTATAAACGATATGTCAACTTAGTCAAACAATTGATGTGTGGTAGTTTTTCTTTAGAGACAGATTCCAGGAAATGGGAATTGTAAGCATTATGCTCACCTTTGGTCCACCCAGACCTGAGCTCCTCCCTGCCCTGGAGTTCCCTGGAGGCCCCTCCTTCTCTCTGCCCAGACTCACATGAGACTCCATCTACCTCACTTCCGACCCTCAGACCCTACTGCTACCTAGATAGTGGAGGCTGCCATGTGCTCCCTCTCCAGGGGAAATATGGCTCCTCTTATAAACCTTCTAATAATCTTTTTCTTGTGCCTGCCTGCCTCTGCATGGTCCCCTGGGATGGATGTGATGGATCCTTTCAGGAATAGTAGAATTAAAAGGAGTTAGTTCAATTTAAATTAATTTAATATTACATTGAATAAATGTCATAGAAGTAATGGCCTACCAAATTAAATTAATTAAATGGAACAATGAAAAGCCAAGTTAATTAAAGAACTAATAAAATAAAGGACCACATCTCTACTTGTATACAATCAGCCAAAGTCTACAAGGCAAACTCTACAAGGCAAGTGGGGTGTCTTAGAAAAATTGCAAGAACTCATGTTTGTAATCCTAGCCACTCAGGAGGCTGAGATCTGAGGACTGCAGTCAAAGCCAGCCCTGGCAAGGAAACCTAAGAAACTTTTATCTCCAATTAACCACCAAAAAGCCCAAGTGGAGCTGTGGTTCAAGTGGTAGAGCACTAGCCTTGAGTACAAAAGCTCAGGGACAGTGCTCAGGCCCTAGTACAAGCCCCAGGTCCATCACACAAAAATTGCAAGGAATGAAGTGATGGCTGATTTTTAAAAATCTGAATGAGCTGGGAGTTGGTGGCTCACACCTGTAAGCCTAGCTACTCAGGAGGCTGAGATCTGAGGATTGTGGTTTCAGGCCAGCCTGGGCAGGAAAGTCTTTGAGACTCTTATCTCCAAATAAATACCAAAAAAGGAAGTGGAACTATGGTTCAAGTGGTAGAGTGCTAACTTTTGGCATAAAATCCGAGGGACAGCACCCAGGCCCTGAGTTCATGTTCCAGACTGACATACAAAAAAACAAAATCTGAAGAAGTCAGTAGAGTGTGATTCATACATGTAATCCTAGCTACTCAGAAGACTGAGAGCTGAAAGATGGAGATTCAAGACCAGGCTGGGCAATTAAAGTCTGTGAGACTGGTGGCATGACTCAAGTACTATAGTGCCACTATGAGTAAGGACTATGAGTTCAAGCCCTGGTACTGACAAAAAATGTTTTAATCTGAAGAGATAAATAAACTTATTGCAATGTGTCAAACTTGTTTAGATCCCAGAATACTTATAAGGAAGTTTAAATGCTGGCCAAATGGTTGATGAAACAAAGAGATATTAATTTTCTGAGATCTGATTATTACAGTTGTTTACTGGGGTTCGTTTGGCTTTATTTGGACAATTCTTGATTTTCTGAGATACAAACTATCATCAATGGGATGATGTCTAGATTTTTTCCCAAAATAATTCGGTAAGAAATAGGAGGGGCTGGTGTCAGTGGCTCACACCTACTATCCTAGCTTCTCAGGAGACTGAGATCTGAGAATCACACTTCGAAACCAGCCTGCGTAGGAAAACCCATGAGACTCTTATCTCCAATTCACCACCAAAAAAGAAAGCCGGAAGTGGAACTTTGGTTCAAGTAGTAGAGCACTAACTAGCCTTGATCACAAAAGCTCAGAGACAGCACCAAAGCCCTGAGTTCAAGCCCCAGGACAAAGAAGAAAGCAAGAAAGAAAGCAGGAAAGCAAGCAAGCAACAAGAGAGGGAAGAGAAGGGAAGGAGAGGGAAGGGAGGGGAGGGGAGGGGAGAGGAGGGGAAGGGAGGGAAGGGG